CTCAAAATCTCTATCGGTCCAAAACGCTCTTGAAACTTTGATTAAAGTCAACAAACGCTTTTTTATGCCCTCAGCTTTAAGCTGTTTTCGGTACTTCGTACTTTAAGATTTAAGTTTGACTTCATATATTATCCCCACTGGTTATACTGCTCTCCTGCCATCACGGTGGAGAAGTTCAGAAAGACTACCACTTACTGGTACGATCCGGAAAGCTCATTTTTAAATGCAGCCGTCTGTCTTAAGATTCTGTAGCCACTTCGATCGTTTGTAACTTTTCGATTACACTGCACACTGAAAAATCCTACGGGTGTAAATTTAAAGTTTTATTTGTTCACAGTTCATCTTAATTGTTACGATGAACATTACGTTTGGTTGCTAACCCAACGAAAGTCGTAAACGTGCTTCGCGAGTGGTTGTTCGAGTGAGAGCTGCATAAATGTTTCCTTCTTCTCCACGCTGATGTCTTTTCATTGATGTCATCTACTAGAACATCCGCAGTGCAACGATTCAAGTAGATCTGGACTTGTTTGACTGACCAATTTCCCCTACAACTTTAATACTTAGGAATGTGTAGAGGAGAGGGCTGACCCCCAGAGCATGTTCATAACATGCATGAGAATGGGGGATAAGTCACGTGATATCGCAGTTAGCGATCCGCTGCTCTCACCCATCGTTCAGTGGCATAAGTCATTGGCTCATAAGGGTAAGGGCGTTGGTCCGAAACCAGCAGCATTCGGCTGGTGCGCACTACTGATGAGTCCAAATAGGACGAAAGGGCCGTCTGGCACCTTCTTGGATGTGTAGTGGTTGTCTGCCTGCGTCTGTCTGCGATGGATCTTTACCAAGACTATCTTCTTGTGACCTCTGAGATATATCGTAATTATTGCTAGCGGAAGGTCTTGGTAAATAGACAGAGAGGGTAAATGGTTTAGATTGAGCCCGTTACTTCGTTAAGGGGCCTTTTCGACACTACAAAAGTCCGATGTTAGCTTTGGTGTACATTGCATGATTCATCGAATGGGCACAATTTGTCCTTATCTTACTTCTCCCCCGACCTGTACCCATGTTTGGTCGTATCCTACTGTTTACTTGTTTGCTAACATTCGACCCCGCTTGCATCACTGTTTTATGTCCTCCTGTGATCTCCAATGGTATAGACCACTTGGATCGACGGTTTCCTCCTGCTAGTATGGACCCTCGACTAAGTGTTCCATTTCGGGCTGGTAATCTCTAGTCATGTGGTCTATTCACATAGGTGAATATGCTTGTGCGTAGGAGCTTCTTGCTGGAATTAGTCGAACATTGGCCAAAGTTGCCATCAAGTTAGATAGAAAAGCAATTGATGGTCGTTTCGTTCTGTTGGTGTCTTTCAGTGATGTGCATCCCTGCTGCTAGTGGAAGCCATGACACTCAGAGCAAACCCTACCCTCTGCAACACTCTAAGTTGTATAACAGTTGAAAATAGGTTGCGCTTTGTCATATTTAGCTTGTAAATCATAGCGCTCCGCCGCCGTCCCCATAGCCCAATAGGGAAAGCTGCTGTCTACTGGCCCGAAAAGCTTGTGGTTATCTTCTCGGATACCCACTGCTGAAGAGTAGAAAAGGATGAAACATCGGTTTATTGCTTTTGCCGAAGTGTGGTATACCATGTAAGTTAGTAGGTGCTGAAACAAACTCAAATTAATAATCTTGTAAGTATGCTGGTTCCAGTATTTCACTTCTATCCTTAAAAATAGTACTTAAGGTAACTTTTGCTATTGGGTTCCTAATAACTAGCGAAGACTTTAATCCTTTATCTTTCTATCTTTAGCAACACCGTTTTCCACCATAGAAAGATTACGCTTTTTGTCACAGCATGCACTATTTCCCTGTTGTCATAGACACAGTGTCCTACTCAAATGGGGAATTTGTGCTTTATTTGTTTAAGTGTGCGCTGCGGTTTGCTCATTATTAATTACGGCGCGCAGAAAAGTGCCTTTAGCAATTCAACACTTATTGATGCTTGCAGCTTGCTTAGATAACCAATTTTTCGTCCGCTTCATTTTTTTAACTATTCAGCTAAGAGTACAGTTACTTCAGCCAACTCGCGCGCTACTTTGCGCCACCAAATTACCTGAGGCTCGGTTCACTCTCGACGGTTGTGGCAACCGTATTCCAGCTAACCAGGAGGCACTACCCTGTTAGCGCAGGTGAACGGCCAGCAGTCAAGCGCAGAAACGCGAGAAAAACAAAAAAATAAAGAGCGCAATTTGTCTGGGTTCTTAAGTAGTACAATGCATTGCTAACATCAATGCTTTGATTTATCAGTCGTTTCTGGTTAGTAAAATCGTGCACACACCCAACGTGTGACCAACAGACTTATAGCGAAATCGTTCATTAGACGCCATATTCGCAAGACCAACCAATCGTTTAGAAGCAGTCAAAAGGTAAACGAATATAGGCATAGTATAGGTCTATTGAGAAAACGCACAGTCTCGCTAGTCTAACGGACGCCAGATAACATCTATCTATGGGGAGATATAGAAGTATATTCCGGGAGCATAGGTAGCAGCATTCGGTTCATGTCAATACTAGTGCGTGCACAGAAACAAAAGTGGTCAGGAAGCGACGAGCAAACAGTCAAACTTTTTGGATAAAATATGGAACCATAATTTTGAGACATTATGCGCATCTGCGGTAACCGAAAGAGAAATCTTCAGGTCGGTACCTAAACTCTCCTATAAGGAAACCATGTGACCATTCGATCTAGGTGAGCACCGTCTGTCGCCGGCCAGCCTTTCGTGAGACCAGGTGGTGAAACCCGACGCAGCTTCTGAGGCAGCACTGATGCAATCGGTCACTAGCACGCTCCCACCATGTCGTCCTTAGGAATGTCCATGAGTATGGACGGTGTTTTGCAACCAGAAAATGGGATTCACTGCATACGTTAAGGCTATACTGGAAATGTTTATTTTCTGAGTGAGCGAATTTCATCCTTATTGTGTCTCTGTGATTGCTAAGATCAAAAAAGGGGTCATTCAGATTTCTCCAACGATCACACTAGCGGACCTTTGTTTGTCATTCATGTTATGCGGGATATTAACAAGCTTTAAAACGACAGGCCTAATTTTATGTAAATCTTATGCGTAACAGGAAGCTACAAAATGTCATCAAGATCATTGAGAATTGCCAAAAGTGGTAATGCAACAACGTGATGAAACGTGATATTTTCAAATCCAACTACACACGTCGAAAATATAAAATCACTGAACAGTGACTTTATACGAGTTAAGAGGTCCCTTTGTGTTGTTTGGTGAGGTTACCGAAAAGGTGAATAAAAACCTTTAAGTATCAAAAAATAGACTTATCGTTTGTAATGTTGTAGTCCTGCATCCTGCATAATTCCCCAGCACCAACAAGTGACCTCTAAGATATCCAACATACGTTCCAGGAGTAGAAGGCAGTGATGATGCTAAGTAATAAAATGTATGTGGCGCGTGAAGGTCCTGAAAGGACTGACACGAGGAGAGCGATCCAGGGATGACGTATGTGAACAGAAAAGCAAATTCTGCGGCACTCCGGAAGGCTGTACTGTTGTGCCAGTTTCATGGAGTGAGCTCCCATGTTTATGTTACTGCTGAATCGCAGTGAAGAGCAGCACATATTAGTTGGATCGTACAGAGTCAAGTATACCATATGGTTCATGATTCAACCTGTCGAACTCTTTTCTAAAATGGATGGAGATCACATCGACAGTACTCTCCTGGTATACTGCTTTCAGCCATTCATGCCTCGTCCCGAGCAGGTTGTTAATGCATGCGGGACCTAGCATAAAACCGTACTGTGCAGGCGCCAGGAGATCTTTTGGGTGAAACAGCTAAAGCAAACTTCCTCACAACCTTCGTAACAACCCTGAACAAAGTAGGTGTCAGACCAATTGGCCAGTAGTTACATACTTTGCTTGGATCACCGTGTTTCGGAAACGGCCTTACTACAGAGCATTTCCAATCAATCGGCAATGAGCTTTCGGACAGCGATCTGTTGAACAGGTCATTTACGGCAGACGATATCATGGCCGATAAGGACTTGTGAATCAAGGGTGGAGCCCGTCAGACCTAGCAGGCTTGACGCCGTCAAGTTTGACGATTAGTTGATGCATCACAATCAAGACTGTTGAGTTCGTAACTTGGTGACGCCGAACTAGGTACAGACCCCTGGTCATTTGCAAACACAGAAAAAAGTGCATTGCTAATGCGAACGCACGCTCAGTGCTGGGAGTTAAAGGCTGTCCGTCCACGTCCTCTATCACTGATAGGTCACCTGTCGGCTTCAGGCTCCGCCACACGTACGGAAAGATTTACCTCTGAGTGGTCATTGCTGTGGTTGTAAGGTGCTGTTCGAAATGCCTGCGCTTGCTCGTTTTATCGTTGTTGTCAATTATTCGTCGCTTTTTATACACCTCGTAATCGTCCACCGAGTCGGAGGTAAATAATTTGTCCCACAGTCTGTGCTGCCGCCAACAGAGCTTGCCATATTTCTTGTCGAGCCAATGTCGTCTCACCAGCCCGACTTTCTGATACTTAAGATGCATAAATTGGTTACACAATTAATTTACTCGATGCATTATAACTGAGCAGCAAGTGTCGGTGGATGTAGATTGCAGAAGAAACCAATCCACTTGGTTCGCAGTTAAAGCCAGGCGGTCGAAACCCCTCTCCCAGTACTTACAAGCTGACTGTAGTGCATGGGACTGCTAAAGAGGAAGCTGAAACTTGGCAATAAGAACTGTGTGGTCGCTTGCTGCAAGAGGTTCCCTGATCCATATGTCATACACAGGTTGTCCACAGTTGGTTGACATTGTAAAGGATTTGCCACATTGCCGACTGCTATCGTTAGGAGTGTTAATCAGTCGGTGGACTATCGGTTATGACCACACAAGCTGGTATCAATTCACACACTCACGACGAACGCTCAAAGTCCAGTGAACAGACGGCAAAACTAAAAGTCATATACACTTTTACGCGTGCGCTCGTTCATACACACACGTGCATACGCGGACTTGGCACACACCACCCTCAAGGCCGTAGGTCGAAACGCAGGCTATTCCCGACCAACGGATTACCCACCGAACCACAGATAAGTCAGGCATTATTTTCTTCTTTCTGTGTTCATTTATAAACTTTATTGTATACGGACCATACAAATTATTTATGCACCTCCTACCATTATTAGCGTGTACCTCCTGCTCACATCATATACATATAAATCATGCTAATAACACCAAGTCTATGCAAGATGGGGTTGAGCGCGGTGTTTTGCGCGTCGGTTGTCAGATGTCTTGTGCTGCCCCAGTTACAACTACCATTTCAGCGAGCTTTACTTTGGCCTCACAACAACGGGTGATGGGTTGAACTTCAGGCCAGCGTATTCTAGGACAATTGAAAGCGCTTAGGAGTATAAAATGCCGGTGACTCATGTGGTCTCGAAGAAGCCGTAGCCAATCTAAACAATGGTCCAGGGGACTGCGGCAGAATACACCCACAGGCAGCTCTCCGAGCCTGAGGTGCATCGAGCACCACAAATACACACATAGGCTATCTTCGCTTCGGTGGGCGCTCACAAGTCTCCCGCGCACAGAAGACCGGATACTGAGCAAGACGCCACTGTCAGCATTTGATAGCCTATCACAGCAGAAGCACAAGTAACTAATAAGCGCAAATTCCTGGGTGAGTACCTCATCGTTCAACCACGATGTGCCCTTTGGGACTGTCTATTCAGGAAAGCTGTGCAATTAAGGTGTGACATTATCAAAGCGATTTTTCGCGTACTTCGGACAGAATGAGGGCTTACGGCAAACTGTCGCCATCCCACAATATCACCAGTAGTGTGAGACAAAGATGTCCGCTGTCACCTTTCCTTTGTACCTTATGAATTGGTGAAGTGGTGGAAAGTGTATTTATTCGACTCAACCTGAAACGCGTATAACTGCTCTAAGGTGAGCGAATTTTGACTTAGAGTTCATCGACGACATTACCATTATCTGTGACAGCTCTCAAACGTGCCAAGCAGCTCTGAACCGATTATCACTGGCTGTCAATAGTTTTGAACTACACTTTGCTCCATCGAAATGCAAATTCCGTTCCTGAGATTGGCAGTGTTCCACCCCTACGCTGACTCTCGGTGATGATCAGCTAGAAGTCGTTCAGGAATTCAAGTAACTGGACAGCTATACTAGCCATTGTGAGATCGAAGTCGAGGTAACGAACTGTAAAGCAAAAGCTCGGGACGCTTTTAGCAATCTCCGCCGCCTGTGGCGCCAACGCGACATCACTCTCGCCCTGAAGTGCAGAGTTTAAAATGCAACCGTCCGTTCAACCGTCTTATACAGTTGTGATACCCGGCCATCAGCTCGACAGACATAAAGAGGCTCATCACATTCGATCATCGCTGCCTTCGCAGCTTAGCTCACATCTGGTAGGAGTACGGCGTGAGCAATGAACGTGTTCGGCGTAGTGTAGTTGGTGCAGGAAGAGCAGATGAACCGCTCAGCACTATTATATCACGCAGCAGGCTCCGATGGCTGGGACACTTGTTGCGCCGTACTGCACACCAACTTCCGTGACGTTCGTTGTTTGCGTGCCGGAGTTGCCTTTGGAAGAGGAGGAGAGTAGGCCAAGCGATGACTTGGTCGATAGAAATGAAAATTACCACTTCGAATTAGGCGTCGGTTGGTGCATCACAATTTCCTGGCTGGGATCCGAAGGATGATGATCTTGTCTGGTTGGATACACTAGTTGACAAGGCAAGGAGCCGACCTCAGCGACGTTTGTGTTTTGAGCTTCCTTGTCCCTCGTCATCTGTTTACCTTCTCCATCAAACTACGGTCTCACACTTGATGCATACTAGGTATCTACGTAGTGTATTGCTTGCTTTTTGCATTTTATAATCTTCAATAGCGCTGTTTCGTATGTCTTATCTTTATGCATTACGGCACAATAGCTGAAGCTTGTTTCACAACTAGCTGATGCGTAATGATGACGATGATGATGATGATGAGGATGAGGATGAGGAGAAGGGGGATGACGATGATGATGATAATGATGATGATGACGATGATGGTGATGATGATGGATGCTGATGACGTTGATGATGACGAAGATGATGATGATGATGATGATGAGGATGATGGTGATGATGATGATAGATGATGGTGAGGATGATGATGATAATGATGCTGCTGCTGCTGCTGCTGATGATGATGATGATGATGACGATGCTAAGGATGATGATGATGATTACATCGAGGAGCCTATCAAGCAGGACCTGTAAAACTACGTCATGATTATAGCGTGTCTGAAGGCTTGGATCGTTTAACTCAGGTACGGGAAAAAGCACCATTTTTGGTAGCCTTTTTCATTGGAAGTGGTACTTATGGGAAGAGAGTGGCCTCAAGCTTTGTTTGACCTGGCCTGTTGTTGGTCAGTAGTGGGAAACTGCTCTTCGTTTTGCAGCTTCTCAACGCTCCTCAAACACTGGACATTCATCTGGGTTTTTAGAGCTCATAGAGAGCAAAGGCAGTGGATCATTCGCTTCAGTTGGTGTCGTGTCTCCGGAAAAATTAGTATTGCGATTTAATGAGTTGTCAGTGGGTTGAATGGGAGGAAGACTGGGTTGAACCTTGGATGAAATCTAGACCAGCTTGTGAAACAATATATCCAGAAATGCTCACAGTTAACGGCTTTTGCTTGCGAACTGCATCGGTAGGCCTTATACATTTCTCTGACTGCCTTAGACTGCGGTAATCGCTGCACAAGATTTGTATGAAATCATGTTAAATGAAACGCAAAAGACAATAGGAACCAGCAGGTAATCCAAGACACGAAATGTGAAAACTAGCACAGCAATAAAAGCAACTAGGTGAATGTACCGAGTTTCCAACATTTTTCGAACATGAACGCACAAGTGATTTCTTCGGTATTTCGTAGAAATATCGTGAAAGGGATGCAAAATGGTAAGGGAGAATTCCCAAAATGGAACATTGAAATCTGCGGAAAGATATCCCACAAAGTAAGATCTAGAAATCGCAGATTCAGAAAGGAAATAGAATGATGTCAAAATTTACCAACATGGATCCCAAAATGCCTGTAACTTCACCAAGAGCGTCTTGATAACATAGTCACAAAATGAACAACCAGATTTTACCCCATACGAGAGGACACGGTTGTGGAAAAGACATAGCATGAAAAGCTGAAGGAGGTTGTGTCTGCACAGAAACAGGCCAATGTCAAAAAGTAGTGTAACGCATAGGTGAAATGACACTAAAAGTGGTCAACAGCTGATAAAGTAAACGGTGCTGATACATCTTATGTCCAGTGTAGGACAAGCTAAATCGGGTCCTTAGACAAGAGATGGGCTGTTAGATAGATTTTCATCCCCCTAACTGACATGGGTAGCAAACAGAAAGTGGCATAGAAAATCGCTCGTTGCTCGAAACGCCACCTGTGTATTTGGACAGCGACACGAACTGGGCACGTACGTCCCGAAGGTTATCACGACGAGGATAAAGTTGACGGCGGGCGACTCTTCGGACGCTTCGCCGTAACTCCGATGGTATGCGTAATTTTAGGCCCTAAATAGGATGGGGTGCTGTAACCCAAGCATACGACGTATACTTATAACAAGCTTAAAGCGAATTCCAAGACATTTTAGTCACAGGTGCTACTGAAGGGGCATGACATGCAATAGTCAAGGAGCTGGCCACAAGTTACCAAGCCTCATATTCAAACCGCTGCTGGAAATGTTGAACAGGTCGAACCGATCATTTAGTGCGACCTTGAGAACATGCAAGGAATCATACTGCATCTTACGTGCGCCTGAAACACCACAACATTTGTGACTAGATAGTACTTGGACGCTGTTGAAAGTGGTGATCTTAATCATCAAACACCAGTTCCTATTAAATAACTGGGTAAACAAACCTATTATTCCTCGACGGTGCAAGACACAAACCAACTGAGTGGTCTGCACAACTTGTACAACGTGATCGCGTAATGTAGTTAATTTTTCCTGTTTCGTACAAGGGTTCCCGTATAGGTTGTTTGAGGTGCTTAACAGTACGAAACTATTAGCGTGGTTAAGAAACTGGGGAGAATAACAAGTGTAGATTTAACCAACTGTTCAAGTAAAGTATACGACCATCCATTGAACTGTTCCCAGGGGACCTACATCCATGCAGGGTATTCACACGATGGGTTTCATCCGCACTTCCATGCTCCAACTGGCTCTGTGCCGGTGCGGAAAAACAGCAAATAGGCCATCCCCTGTGTGATAAATGTTTCTTTCATAAGAGCTGTTTTATGCATACATTATGGGCGATGAAGCCTCAGCCCGTTCCGTCATGTGGATCAATCGAGTATGGCATTTTTTTTATAAGCGAGCGACTCAGTAGCAGTATGGTTTACATGGGTATAATTAGTTTAGTTTGGAAGCTGTAATCCGTCACCTCAAGAGATCATCCCAGTCATAGCCAACAATGAAACAAGGAAGACCATAAAGAGTGAGGAAGTAAAAGACATAATAATGAGTATAATCGTTTGCCGATAGGCCAGTCACAATCTGAAGGAAAATCTTGGCGAGTGACGATCATGGTACAAAGACACCAGCTTGAAAGACGTGTTGCATCTCCGCACCAATGAATCAAAGCAGAAAACAGTATTGGTTAGACCGAATGGTAGGGGTAAACTCGTTTATAGCTACATACGCAAAATTTCAACTATATGGAGGTAAAGTTTATAACATTGAGACAATTAGGAGATATGGCGACTTTCAAGTGCAATCCAGCACCTTTCTCATACAAATCATCTAGGGGCAACTTTTGGTTAAGTGTTGATCGGATATTCGAAACAGACAGGTGAATATTAATCATTAGGTTGTATTGCGGGTAGGAAATACTGTTTTTAATACTCGATGGAAGTTTGTTTCATATTAATGCAGACTTTGCGGAGAAAAATTTAGGCCGAGCTTGGTGCGACACATTTGTATTTGCAGTGTGCGCTCGCTCTTTCTTAATTCATAGCGCATACGAGTCTGAAACTCGAGTTGTGGCTGAGCAGTTAAGCTTAATACTTATACTAAGTGGTA